AAATTTATACCCGTAAAAACAATGCCTGGTTTAATCTCTGACTCTCTGGCTTTATCCTCATTTTTTTTTTTTCATTTACTAGACAATTAAGACCTGCCCTGCACTAGAGGAATTCACGGGAGAGGCAGTTAAGATTTTGATTTCATAGGATGAGCATGTTCAGTCCCAAGAGTCCGGTACCCATGTGTACTATTGAAGTCAGAGGAGAGAAAATTAATCCTGGTTGCCTTTTTTTTAATGTTTCAAGTTCTTATTTAAGTTCTAGTTAGTTGTTAACATATAGTGTAATCCTGGTTGCTTTTTGATCAGAGAAGGAAGGCCTTGTAGGGTGGGTGGTCTTAAGGTTGTGTGGAATTCACCAGCGGCAAAAGAGTTGAGGCGGAGTGCGCATTGGAGCTGTTGCGCTGGGGGAGAGGGGTCGGTTGGGTGAGTGGACTCGGTGAATGGCAGATTGCCCTTGTTGCTCAAGTGCAGCAGGTGGGGGAACCTGTAGAACATGGAAGCTCAAAAAGATAAGTAGAGGCTCGACTTACAAGCACTTTGGGGGCTGTGCTAGGACTCTGGCCCGCCTGGGACTCTGTGTCGTCCAGGAAGCGAAGGACATGAAGGGAAAGCATCGGTATATATTGCATTTCAGCCAACGCAACCAGCCAGCCTGGGTCTCCTAAGGAGGGGAGTGCCCTCTAGGGGCTTAGATGATTTCTGAGCGCTGTTCATCATTGTTAGGCGCTCAGATGCCCACTAAGCTGAATCCATTACCTACTCGAGAGAAAAAAAGACAGCTTCAGCAACCCACCTGGCTGCAGCTGTGATTACATTATGCAAGGATTTATTAATGTGGTGCCTTGATTGATCGTTATCTTAATACCGAAGATAACATTAGAAGCTTGATTTTTCTGGCAAATTGCACCTACAGGTTTCTTCTTGTTTGAAGTTACAAAGCCCTTAGCCCACGTGTTGTATGATTCTCTTTCTATGAACTGTCCAGAATAGGCCAATCCATAGAGACAGAACAGAGATTTGTGGTTGCAGGGTCCAGGGGGAAGGCAATGGGGAGTACAGGGCTTCTTTGTGAGGTGTTGAAAATGTTCTAAAATTAGGTAGTATGATTGCACAACCCCGTGAATATCAAAACCACTGAATTGCACTTTAAAGGCGTGATTTTTATGGTATGCTAATTATCTCAGTAAAGGTGTTATTTTATTTATTTATTTAAAAAAAAAAGCCTTTAGCCCTTCTGCTCTGGGTGTCCTGCAAATAGTTCTGCCTGAGTAACCTTTTTGAGTTCATGGTATAGAAATCTCAGTGTTTTGCTTCTCACTTTCTCTTCTGTATTTTTGTTTTGTTTAGTTACTGTTACCCTCTTTTATTCGTTTCCAGTTCTGTTGAATTTAAGAAATATTTATTAATGACTACGCATAGTAGATGCAAGGAGAGCTTGTGGTAAGATTCACACTCACGTCACCACAAGCACAGTGAGAGGAACCTTAAGGGAAGTGTGGGATCTGGCGGCTCCGAAAGAAGCTGTGGTCTGTGATCTGAGGTTGGCCCACGAGGACGGATGGCATCTGGACAGACAGCTGGATAAGGAGTGTTCAGGAGGGAGCAGGGGTGAGTGGTGCAAAGGCAGCCAGGGTGAGGGCTTATGTGGAGAACAGAGGAGTGACTGGAGCAGAAGGAAAATGAAGAGAAAGACCACAGAGTAGAATTGGGGGGAAGAGGCACGTGGACTTGACAGTGTTGACTCCCAGGCTGAGCAGCTGATCAGTTAAATGAGGAGCAGCTGAAGACTTTTGATGTCGGAAGTACAGGAACTGGGCCCTAGGATGGGTGAGTGGGAAGGAGAGACCCAGGGAAATTGGTCCGGGGTGGGGGGTCGATTTAGAAGTGAGGGTAAGTGTTGACATTGATGTCATGAGCATCTCTTTCTCGTATATCAGTCTGTTTCCTCTGCTGCTGATCCACCTGTTTTCTCCATTTTCTTGTTTACTCTTTAGGCACTGGGGTAAAGGGCAGGAGGAAGACTGGGGAGAAGGGACAGAGAAAGAATAAAAATGAAGAGAAAAGGTAGTAAGGACAGAAGAACAGTTTGCATGTTTCAGTTGTTTTGTAATTCAGCATTTCCTCTTCATGATTCGCTAGAAAAGAATCTAGTCTCTTCTAGTGGAAAATACAGGGCAGGAAACCTTATTTAATTTCAGCTGTGGAGGCTCTGTGCCTCACTGTTCCCATCTGTAAAAGGGAAAAATACCTACCTCCAGTGTAGGTAAACCAGGGAATCTACAGTAATCTTGTTAAAGAATTTTTTAAAACTACGCTGGACTCACATAATTTGTAGACATAATAAATTTCCGTGGCAGGTAAGGGTCCTGGTGAGTCCCCCGTTTGTGAGAGAGTGAGTGTAAACCCACCTGTCGAAACATAATCCATGTGAGTTGTATTATGTGAAACTATAGGAAATTGCTCTTTGACTATTTTTGACCTACAAGAAAATGACAGTTTCCCTAAAGTTTCAACCTAATAGGTAGCTGCTTGATAGATATCTGATGTGAGCCCAGGTTTTCACCCTTTCTGGTTTCTTAGTAAGTTCCTTCTTTATTAAGGTGCTAATGGTCTTTAACACCTGTTCTTCTTCGGTTTAGGGGAAGCCGTGAGAAGACAAAAGACAGCAAGAATTGAGGAAGGGTTGCCAAGGGTCTAGTCCAGAAGGGGAAAGGAGCTGGGAGCCAACCAGCCCGCAAAAACAGGGACACCTGAATCCTCGGAACTTGAACACATAGTCATTCTGGGTTTAGAAGCAAAAATTCTGCTCAAGGGTTTTCCTTTGCTAAGTGGGTTACTAGGCCGTTGTGCGCAGTTTCAGACCTTCTGTAACATACTGTAGACAACCTTTGTGAATCTCTACAAAAGCAAGGGAGAGATCTAAATGTTGAGAAACAGGTCAGATGTAAAAGGAGAAAAAAGAAGCCATACGGCAGACTCCAATTACAGTTTTCAGCTTGGTGGGATTTCTGACAGCCTAGCAGAGAGCCTGGCGCATAAGTGCCCATATGTGTCCAGGACAGGTCACTGAAGGGCTGAAGGATATCTGAAGAGGTATTTTTTTGGTTCATTGTATACTCTCTGGTGTTTGAATTAGAATTATTCCCTGGAACAGGGAGGAAGGTGGATCCCAGAAGATGTGGAAGAAAAGGTTAGTCAGCTCTTCTTGTAGGCTGCTTTCGTTATAATCACATGCAGATATCAGGATCAGGGCGTGGCCTCTCAATCGCCTAGCCCCATTGATCTGTAGAGACCAAAGAGTTGAAGTTGTACAGAGGATCAAGAATACACTTGACATATCATTACTGTAGCATCACAGGGATAGGATTATCTGCTTAAAACTGCAGTGACAAGGCACATACAAAGGAAAGACTATGGGATAACCTTTGCAGGAACTAAAAACCCAGTTCATCTTTACCCAGCCCTGTAAGGTGATTGTCCTGTGGGAATACAGATCTGCCCACATAGAACAGGCAAACTTTTATCTTAAACCATAGGAAGAAACACCGGTTGCAGCAAAACCTTAATTATCTAACCCCCTCTTCTCCCAGGTGCCCAGTATAACCGTCGCCCCACTGGGAAGAAGGCTGAAAAGGCCCACCTCGAGAGGGGTTGTTCACCTTTCCAGTGGCTTGCATGGTCTTTGGTGCAAATTTTAATTGAAGTTTGTTTCCTTTTTTGTTCTACGGTTAACTATAAATGTAACTAGACCTCTGGGCCTGATTATTGAGGTGCTTGTGGACTACATGTATATTTTGTTAAACACCCAAAGAACAATAGGAGAACAAAACAATTAAGGAGTGGGGAACAAAACCAAAATTAATGAGTGTGTTACCAGTTCTTCCCTGCTGGGAGTGTTACCCTCCCCTGATCTTGACCTGCACTGTACCCAGATACCCACATACTTCCTGCAAGGATGTCTCTTTTTAGGATGCCTTGCTTTCACTCCTGTCACCCCAGGAACTCCTTGAGTCATCCTCTCCAGCCTCTCATACCCACTTGCAGCCCTCCCTGGGGCCGGAGTCTAGCTGCTCCTTCCTTTTATTTCATTTATATCCTGACACCCTGCTGCCCTGAGCTTCTCATTTCCTGCCTAGTTCCTTGTAACAGATCATCAGCAGGCAGTTGACAACTTTTGTTCTCCTCTCACGAATACCCACCACTCTGACTTTTCTCTGTTTAGGCTGGTTTCCCAGCAGAGTTGAAGTTAAGGAAGGGTGAGAGCCGGCAGCGCGAGCTTGCAGTTCAAGGAACACCTCGTTTATGCGTGTAGACATAAATGGACATGGAGTAGCTTAGAAGATGCCCCAAATTAAGACTTTCACCTTTCACGTAGCTGTCACAAAGTCCACTTACCGAAGCTTGTGCCCTTGATAAAGAGCTCCTCAGTCTTCCATCAGAGTCTGTTTCTTCTGTGATACACAATTATAAATTAAGGTAGCTAAAGATGAGGGTGCTCCCAGACACAGTCACACTGACAAATAGGGACTCAAAAGATACTTACTTAATAGCTGAAAGAAGGGTCAGAAGAATCTCTGAAAAACACCAAAAGGTCAACAGCAACAAAGCAGCAACACAGAGCACCCCTTCCATGTGAGCCCATGCGAGCATCACTGGTTTATGGGTAACACCATAATGTATGTACATAAACACGGCCCCGCATCATCAAGAGAATGCAGGTTATACTGGTCTGGCTAAGTAAGAAATGACAATGCATTGTAGGAATATTTCTGTCAAAATGGTTAAAATTAAGAATACAGAATTAAGGAGATATGAGCCTCAGTTATTGGGAATGCAAATTAACGTTAGCACACACTCCCCATTTCCCCGTGACCCCGGATACCCAGGATAGCATCCTACAGACAAGCTCGTGCCACAGCCCCTGCCACCTTGTGGGCTCCCGACTTCTATGTTGTTGTTTATTCATGGGGTTTTCCTTCCCTTTTCTTTGGTTTCAGATGCGAGTGTCTCTCTGGCTTATGTGGTTTCCCCGTGTGTGAGGTGGGATCCACTCCTCGCATAGTCTCTCGTGGAGATGGAACACCTGGAAAGTGCTGTGATGTCTTTGAATGTGTTAATGGTACGTGGGGTTTCTCTTGTTCTCAGAGAGTGTACATTCGTGCAGGAGGAGGGGAGGGTTCCATCTGGCCACTTCTGCCTTTTGTAAGGCAGGGCATATACTCAGGGGCTCAGAGCAACTCCCTCAAGAAAGAAGGTTTGCTTGAGATCCCACAGTGCAGCAAAGGCAGTGAGGAAAGGGGACCCTCGTTCCATCCATCAGAAAGAGGATTTCGGAGGTGGAGACCTGGATTTCATGTAGCTGTCATATTCTGCTGTGTTTCAGTAGTGCAGAAATGTTAGGATTTCACGAAAAGAATCATGGAGCCTGTAATCATCCTGCTGCTGCTGTCAGGAGCCGGTCTGTAGAACGAACACAACACCGAAGCTACCACAACCTGAGACAGGAGAGGCATTGCTCGTCTAGCAGAGGATTTTCCTACTTAGAGAGCACGTCTTTGACCAGTGCTGGGTCCTTCGTATTGGCCTGCTTTCGGCTTGAGCCTTGTGGCCCAGAAAAAGCATTCTTCGGTCACAAGATCCCTTCAAATAGAATCCCCCTGCCCCTCCCTTTCACCTTTCACAAGAGGGCTTGGTGTTTGGTGACATGGGGCTGATTGAATTTAGATGCTAGAAGGGAGAAGAACCTAAGACCTGTCCCTCCCTCAGAATTTTCAGAAGGGAAACAAAGAATAAAAGTCAAGCAAGTGAAATGTCAATAATTCTAGCCCTGTTGAGTCAATACCTAGACACAAGGAAAATGAACATGCATTGGGACAAATCCAGCAAAATCACACGTGCAGAAACCCCCATAGTAACTGCTACCTCTAAGACACCAGAGTTCCGAAGAATTTCTGCCCTCTCTCAAGCCTGCCCTCTTCCCCAAGAAAATTCAAATTGAGTTCTGTTTCATTGCGTCCCGTAGTTTTGAGTGCCGTGGCCGCCTTTCGTTTTGTTTTGCTTGGAGGAAACACTTGCGGTACGGCTTCGGGGTCAAGAGAACATAGACTGGAACCGAATGATCTCGCTTTGAGAATTGGTTCCTCTGCTTACCAGCCGTGTAACTTCAGGTGCCTCTTGGTCTCCCGGGGCCTCAGTTTCCACATTTGTCAAATGGAGTGAATAACAGTCACTTAGATGAGGTTTTATATGGGAAGCAGTTACAGTGGTGCCTCAAGAGCAAATGGTCTTTGTTTTGGGGTACCCACCTCCTGTTCACATCCACAGACACGGTTCTGGATATTTCCGAGGGGCTAGAGAAGGTGAGATGAACTTCCTGACTCAGACCTCACGGATGCAAGGCAAAGGGCAGAAGTTTGTGCTCAGTGCTTCTCCTCACCTATAGTCGTGTGTGTTAAACACCAGCAAATGGCCCAGCTTTTTCTCTGGTACCGCTGCATAGGAGTATTTGTAGGTGACATTTTGAGTATTTAACTCCTACCGCTTGAGACCAATAGTCGCTGCGTCCCCTGTGCTCCCAGCATCTCAGATGTGCTTCCTTCCAGGACCCCTTACTCTGCCAGGTGCTCTCATGTCTGTCTGATGCTCACATCTGAACCGCCAGAGGGCAGAGAGTCTGTCCTTGTGTCTGTGGGTAGGAACATGTTGTCTGCCTCACAGAAGGCACCCAGGTTTTCTTGGGGGAATGAGTGAGCAGATGCATGTCATCTTAGTTCCCTCTAGAGGTGGCTATTAAATACCAGCCCAGAGAGGGGTTACTTTATGGGAATCCTCCATCTTTTACTGCCCTCCCTGAAACATTAATCTTGAAAGTCATTTGTCCCCTGGAAATACCACCGCTAGTAATCCAACTTGTGTTGTGTCCTCTGGGTGAGGAAGAGAAGTGCCCTTCTTCTTTCCTTGCATCTCGATTATAGAAATTCATTGTCAGGCCTTTCTTATCAGGACATTAACGTCGCATCTCACCCTAGTGTGATGTAATTCAGACAGCTAAGGACTGCACCCCACCTCAGGGGCCTCGGATGAATCTTTGGGGCCTGCTCCCGTTTATAGCCTCACTTTTTATAGAGCTCTGAGTCCAGGAATAGGACTTGCCATCTGCCATGAGAAAATGCAGAGATGACAAAGCTGATACTCACACTGTTTCGGGGGGTGCCTCTTTCTTGCCACCACAAACTTGGGTCATCTTTGCTTTATTTATTGTCCTATTTAGTGTCTCTATTACTATCTTAGTCATTGAGTTGTAGATGAGACTAGAAACGTTAATGCTATGAAGATTCATAATCAAGGAATAACAATAATGTTTAAAGACATTCTATCTCCAAGTCTATATTTTACTTCTTTTGAGATACACATACATACACACATAATGCACACACACACATATCTGTGTGCCTGGGAAAATCTTACTATTGTCGTAAGGTCATCGTTAGAGGATATTACATATCAAAAACTCATTGTTATCACTTAGAAAGGCAGAGGTCTGTATATTTATATTTATAAAGCTTTGCTTATCCACAAGAGATTTCAGGTAACTTTATAGCAAAAACAAGTAACAGAATGCTGAAATATTAATGAGAAAAGAGGGAACCATAGAGTGGTACGTAAAAGTTGAAAGTGAAAACCAAAAAGAAAGCGCCCACAGGTAAGTAGGCTGTAAATGTCTGTCTGTATAATTGCCAAGGCTTAACGTTAGCCAGGCCCCCGACCTCCTGGCCATCAAAGCGAAAAAAGAAGATAGAGTCAGATACGCAATTCTTATTTTTAGAAGAAAGAAACCTCCTTGGAGGGAGCAGCTCTCTTCTCACCTGGAAATTTGAAAAGCTCTAGATGATGCAGTCGTTCTGTCCTGAGTTACTTTCATACCACTAGTCCAGACACAGGTTTCCTGTCTCAACAGAAAGCAGAAACAAAATATTAAAATGCAACTCCATGAACGTAGTTCTCAGAGATCAGTGTGACACACAGCTGGAGCGTAGATGACTAGAGCATTGTCTCTTGGATTTTGAAAACTCCCAAAAATGTAGGAATAGCTCTAGAAGCCCCCCTCCCCTTCAGGAGACAGTGGGTTGAATGTTAACATAACTAACCCCACATGTAGAAATGGAGATAGCAGGCTAGCACTCAGTTCCTAAGCTGCCATTGAGGTGATCCATATGCATGTGTGTGTGTGTGTGTGTGTTTTAAATCTAGCATTAAAGTGAAAACACAAGATGAAAAATGTTCACAGAGAATTCGAGAACTCCTGAGTTTTGAAAACATTAGCCTGGAGGAATAGATAGAATATTTTCCATAAATATTACTCCCTTTTCAGTTTGGGTTGGTTTGGTTTGGTTTGGTTTGGTTTTGGTGGTGGACTGGAGAGTTGCAGACCAGATGGAGGCAGTTTGTGACTGCATTCTCTGATGAGAGCCAAAAGGAGGACCTATGAGGTATCGGCTGAAGGACAGGGCTGTTTAGGAACCAAGGGAACAGGTGGTATGATTGAGCTCCTTTTATGGAGACTTAGAAGTCATCAAAGTCATCAGCTGAAGGTCTGACCTCCACAGCAGTGGTGAAGCAGTCTGGAGTCCCCTTCAGTACTGTGTCTGTTTGGGCCCACGAACAAAAGTTTCATCATCCGTCAGCTGGAACTGAGCAATGGCCTCTACTTTTAGATGGGCACATGTTCTCCATTTTGCTCTAATACACCCTTACACGAGCCCACCCTTCTCATTCCTGGAGGAGTTTAGATTTGAAATCTCAAGCATAGAATATGGAAGTGATCATTTGGTTGCTTTAGGTATGTGATCAGTTGTGTATGTATATGTACAAACATCGGAGTAGAGCAGAACATCTTGGTTCGAGTGTCATAGCCAATAACTGACTCTTTCAGCATGGGAAATTCACCAGTCACGGGAGAGCCATACCCAAGGCTGGCTTGCTCTTTGTGTAAAATTTTGGCACAGAAAACTTACCTGCAGTCTTTTAATATGGAAATTAGTGCAAAAACATCTACTGAGAACGCTTTGTATAGCAATAATGCTCAGTAATGTTTCTAGAGACATAGTATTTACTTCAACAGTAATGAAGAGAATACTGCGCTTTGAAAGAAATATTCCTCATTATGCACTTATTGAGCACCCATGGTGTTCCTGGGGCCTTATCAAGCTGATCTTACTTAAGAACGATACCACTTTTTGCAATCCTTTATGATGGTGGTTCCCTAAGTAGATCTGTTGGGTGCACTCTAGCGCACACACCTCTTCCCCCCGCCGCCCTAGACCAGGGCTTTTTCCTCTTCAGGTATTTAGAATCACATGTACCCTGTTTTTGTGATCCATCTGTTTGCTATTGACATATGGAGAACTTTTCAGATCTTTCCCATCTGACCTTGTCTCTTTTTTGGCTTATGCTGTCTACTCACTGGGCTTCCACACAGCTCACCCACAGTAAAATGAGACCAGAGGCAAGGTATTGGCCTTTTCCTACTGAGAGATTGAAGAGAAAAAGCAACAGAAGTGTATCTGTTTAGATTTTTTTCCACTTTCACATTTGATATAAAGTTCTGTTTGTCTTTTCCTTCACTAAAATAACATACCTATCACATCTGCCAATCAGTGTAATTTGGCAGGCAGTAAAGGTTATTAACCATCTATGCTACAAGGTTCTTTTTCAGGAATTCTGGACTTTATTAAAGAGGGAAGAGAAGATTCCATAACTTAGAAATATAAAATTTAATTGGGCAGAGCAGACACAAAACATACACAAAAATCACTAAAAAGACACTTTTATGCATCTCTGTATTGAGAAGTACAAATTATACAGTAGATTATTTCTTTGTAATATTTTTCGTTTCCACAACCACTTAAGTTGTGCTCTTCGAGAAGTAGTAGTCATCTCCACACTGTTCTGAGATTCACATCTATCCCCTGCAGGCAGGGAAGTAACTGGATTGCTCCCCAAAGACCAGTGTCATCCTTCTTATCATGTATTTTCCTGAAGAGACTATAAATTTCTCTCAGTATCAGGGATTTCATTATGTTATGTGGGGTTTTTAAATTATTGTTATCCTAAAGAGCTGATTATGTTTTCTAGGCTGGGTTTTTGGGGACTCCTCATCCCTCTACATTCCACCCCCTTGCTCTCTGTGTATTAGCTAGTGAAATCTAACTGCCAAGTCCTTCATTCACCCTGTCCCCTCCCGCTTAAGCGTCTGCACACCCCCCCATAAATACAGGTTCATCTGGAACAGCGTTATTCATAACCAGACTCTTGCCTCCTCACCTCTTCAAATCTTGCATCGAGATTTGTAGCTTCACGCAGATGGTAGATGTGGCTGATTAATGCAACCAAGTAATTAATATTGATGGGCTTATACATTTTTTTCTTCACTTTGAACGGGTGCTCAGCATTTCGTTAGAGTGCACTGCTTTACCTTACTGCAGAGCGTGCAAGTTTGATTTGTAAGAGCACTCCATCTTCTATACTTTTGAAACTTGTGGTCTCACTGCCCAGTTCCTTCCAGTCCCAGCTCAGATTAGTGTGTTGGCTGAAAGTATGTAGAATTCTGAGCTATAATAAAATGATACTTTGTAATCCAACCTTAATTTTTAAGAAAAGAAATACTGTATACAGGTGCAATAGGGAAGAGATTCAAGCATTCACATTTGCCACCTGTGTAAACAGGGATGCACAGCTCGCCTCAAACCAGTTATGTGACTTTAGGCAAGTCACCTAATCTCTTTTAAGGTTCATTTTCCTAATCAAAGAAATGGATAGTAACACTTGCTCTGTCTTCTCCACTGGACTGTTATAAAAATCGAATGAGAAAATCACTGTCCTTAAATACAGATCAAGTGCAAATATATTCAAATTAAAATGCAGTGAAAGTCTCTTTAAAAATTGTGAACATGCAAGGTGACATATTAAATGATGTTGGGATAGAGAAGCCCATGAGAGATGCATGTATCATAATCCAGTTTTCCCCACCTTATTAAACAGGGTACCTCAGCTCAGGAGAACTTTCTTCAACTTGGGAGTATTTTTATGTTGCTAGCTTATTGAGACACATATGCAATTCACCAAGTTAAGTTGTACAATTCAGCAGTTTTTAGTATATTCACAGGGTTGGGTAATCATCACAGTCAATTTTAGAATGCTCATGAATCCCCACAAAAGTTCCCAACTCATTAGCAGTCACTCCCCATTTGTCCCCAAAACCCCCAGTCTTAAGCAACAACTAATCTAATTTTTGTCTCTATAGATGTGCCTGTTATGGGCATTTCATGTAAATAGAATCATAATCTGGGTTTTTTGTTTGGCTTCCTTTAATTAGCATAATGTTTTCAAGGTTCATTAATGTTATAACATATATCAGAACTTCATCCCTGTTTATGGCCAAGAAGTATTTCATTGTATGGATATACCACATTTTGTCCTTAACATCAGTTCATAGACATTTAGGTTGTTTCCAAGAAATGGAATGGTGTTTTGTTGAAGTCCAAGTACTATTAAAATTATAGATTATTAAGCTAGATAGAAAAAATAATTTAGGGAAGAACACAAAAATATCATCTCCAACAAGACCTAATTTTTTTGAGGTGGAACAAAACCTAATGTGGAGGCAAGATCATTTATTTAAGGCAGAGCATTCTTTAACAAAACAAATGTAATCTCTTTAAATCACATTTCAGATATGTGAGTTTAGTGGTCGAAGGGTTACCTTTGGAGAGGGGTAAAGCAGTGTAGGCTTTGTTAAGGAGAATTTCAATCTCTTGGGGCAAAGAGGAGAGTTATGTGACTTTTTAAATTTTACTTTATTTTGCATTGCCTTATTGCTTCTGTTGTTTAAAAAAATTATATTGAGTTTAGTACATTTCTATCAAATTTTAACCTTCTGCTGTCAGAATTTTCTTGAGGCTGTTGGAAGCACAAAAGGACACCACCCAGAAATGACTTTGAATGTGCCTTGTTTGCTTTTAACTCCTTTCAGAAACAAAGCCAGCCTGTGTATTCAACAACGTGGAATATAATGACGGGGATATGTTTCGAATGGACAACTGTCGGTTCTGTCGATGCCAAGGGGGTGTTTCCATCTGCTTCACTGCCCAGTGTGGAGAGCTGAACTGCGAGAGGTACTATGTGCCCGAAGGGGAGTGCTGCCCCGTGTGTGAAGGTAAGAAAAGGTGCTTATTAAAGATTAATAAGCATATACATGGCTCAGAGTTTTAATGTCAAAATCTGCCCGAAACAGTCTCATCCAAAAACAGTGGAATATTGAAGAAATTCCCTTTTTATGACATTCGTGATGCATCTTTTAGGACTTCGATAATGCCAGGAAGGCTGTGTGAAAACCTCTCCCCAAGGGAAGTTATGCCCTGGGTGTAGAAAGTGAGCCACCTGTTTACAGAGGTCAACATGAGAGTTCCCGCAAGTGCTGTCAGTTACTCCCCTGTGGTTCTAGCAGTTCCTCAGTAAGTTCTGGGGAAGTTCTCTTCACCCTGACATCAGAGTTCACCCCCTGCTTTCCTCAGATTGCTTGGCTAGAACAAGCCAGCCCTAATCACTGACCATCTCAGCCAGGCAGCTCAGAGAGGAGCTTGTCCTGCCTCCTTTCCACACCCATACCCCTCCAGGGAGGGTCAGAACTCGCTGCCCTCCCCACTCTTTGGAAACATGTGTTGGCAAGGGTGGGCTGTGTGGCATCGTGGTGACATATGGCCCAGCCAAGTGTCAGGTGTGGCCCTGGGTTGAAGGTTCTCAGCAGCCTGCTTTCTCTATATCCCCTCACTCCTCCAGGAACTAAGAGTTTCCTGTTCCTCCAACAGGCTTTATCCTCCCATCTCTGATATTCGTAAATAATAAACATTTCAGAATAATGATTCTAGATATCCATTCACTACAACCCACCCATTTTAAGGCTTAGGAAACGGAAGTTCGGAAAAGTAGAAGCATTTGTCTGAGTTTATAATGAAACCAGGAATGATACCCCCACATCTGACTATGTCTCTCCTGTGACCACATCACACTGGTTCCCCAGAAAGGAGGGTCATGTGAGCCTTCTTGGTCCTGACTGACTGGGTCACAGACCTTCTGTCTGGAATCAGACATGTCACTCTCATGTCTGACGTTCACCCTGCCTTTATCTGCGCACAGGAAACAGGACAAAATGTCATGCCATGTTCCATACCTTTTTCTGTTTTCCTAAAATCCTGTTCAGTGTCTGAGCTATATTTACCACATAATACTGAAGATCTGAAAATGTTTAAAGTATACAAACTACATTCCTGACATTAAACAACTGTTTATAAGAGGGAAATTCTTTCCCATGTTAGCAGTTATTTTAGCCAACATGGGAGAAAGGTGGTTCACTTTTTAGGTGTCATTGGGGATTAACTTTTTAAAAAATCACATCAAACTTTTAACCTTCCCAAAAGATGTGTTGCCTAGCTGGCCCCAGTTTGTAATAGTTGCTGAAACTATGTAGCAGTTGGTGGTGTAAAAACATAGATAGGAACCTCTGTGTAATAATCATAATGAGTTGTCTGGGCACGGATCCGGTTATGTCTCACTTCCTGGAATTCAGATCCAGGCTCAGAGTAGAAATGAAGTATGCAGTGTAATATTTTTTATAAAGAAATTTACAAAGTCTTATCTAGCTCAGGTCTTTTGGCTGCTTCCATTTCTGGCAGACTGACTTTCTAAAGCTGTGACTGCATTATTTTAACTTTTGGCTTTCTGACTTTCTTATAATGCCATTACTTCTTTAGGGAGAACCAAACTCGTAACTGCCTGGACTTTCCTCCCAGCTCAGCAGCCCTTTTTGCAGCCAGATTTTATGTGTTTCTGAAAAAGAAAGTTGAGTGGTTTCTCTGGTGGCTCTCATTATAATGGTAGTTGGGGATTTTGTATGCAGTATTTATGTTCTGGTCAGTAATGTCAGAAAACATTTTTTGTTGTTTACAGTAGCCTTGGCTACTTTTGATCCCCAGCTCACAGGGAGAAAAATGGCCTGGGTTCCCAGCCTTCCCACCAGGGCACAAGCCCTGACCCACGGTATGCCTAGACCAGCCTTTGTTGTGAACAAGGCCACAACAAGTGCCTGCAGTACACCTCACCCGTGTCCACGTGCTGTCCACGTGGATCTCCAGGCACCCTGAGATAGAGTTCAGTTATCCGAGAAGCCACAGTATCCCTCTGAGTTGGATGGGGGCATTATTTTTCCACCTTACAGGTGGTGAAATTGAAGTATAATAAACATTAAAATTGACAACTCAAAAGACCTTGTCAAGAGCCTAAAATGGACCTGCATCTTGTAATTACCAGCCCACAGCTCTGTCCACAGTTTTGCAACTTTATGAAGTGGTAACACCTGCCCGTTGGTTTTTATGCCACAGATCCCCTGCCCCGTCTGCAGGGCCTGGTTGGGTGGACACAAATTCAGGATGACAACTGCTTTTGCATGTCCCCCGGGAGACACTTTATGCAGTCCGAGCTTCTGCTGATCACAGCTGGAAAAGAACTGCCAATGACCAGAACCTGGGAAAAAATGTCTCCAGGTGCAGGCAGAGCTAAGACTTAGAATGCCCTCTATCTTACTTGGAATTCACCTTTTTAATCTAGACCCAGTGTATCCTTTTAATAACCCTGCTGGCTGCTATGCCAATGGGCAGATCCGCGCCCATGGGGACCGGTGGCGGGAAGATGACTGCACGTTCTGCCAGTGCATCAACGGAGAGCCCCACTGCGTGGCAACGGCCTGCGGACAGAGCTGCATGAACCCCGTCAAAGTGCCTGGCGAGTGCTGCCCTGTGTGTGAAGGTAAGCCTTGTTGAGTCTAATGAGTCCCTGGCGAATGTCTCATGTTGGATAAGCTTCTACCAGTGTGTGCTTGTTTGTTTTTTATTTCCTCGGGCATAATGTCTGCTTCATGCTGTTACCAGTTGCAGATGAATTTATTATAGGGCCAAAACTAATCGTTTGGGGCAAATGTTGCAAATTTGCAATGAGAACTGTGTGATCTTTATTTTTACTGCTGCCAATATGCTTATCTCAATACTTTACGGTATAAGAATATATACATTTCAGTTCCGTTCACTTCAAGCCTAATTAGCATCCAAAGGTCAACGCAGTGAAATAGAATGGGAAATAAGACCCTTGACTCAAGCGTGGCATGTTTGATTTATCATGTTTCTATGAGCCCAGGAGTCCTGACGGCTGGAGGAAAAGCCTGCAACCATCAAAAGGCAGTTTGCTCTCCCCACTGCCTTCACTCAGCACCCCTTCTTCTGCTGTTCTGAGGCTTTTCCTTAGGTCTTGGTTGCCTGCATTCACTACCTCTCTTCCTGTTTAATGGAGAGGAGCCCAAGGCTTCCTAGATTAGCCTTTCCCAAGCCCTATTCCAGCCCATTTCCCTCATCGTGGGAAGTTTCTTTGCACACTTAAGTCAGCCTTAATCATCTGTGCCTGTTCATCCAGACAAGAGAGTTAATAGTTGTACTGACAGATCCAATAGAGAGTATCCATCATTAAGAAGCACATTTGCATGGTAAAATGAACTACAGTGGATCATGTTGAAGATGGATCCTTCTAGGATTTTTTAAAACAGCTATTAAGGAACTGACAGGTCTTTGCAGAAATTCCGTTGTCTGGGGGTGCCTGGGTGGCCTAGCTGGTTGAGCGGCTGACTCTGCATCCGACCCTTGGTATCTCCTCAGGTCATGATCTCAGGGTCCTTGGATCGACCCCGACGTTATGCTCAGCGCAGAGTCTGCTTGAGACTCTTTCTCCCTCTCGCTCTGCCCCTCCCCCCTGCTCTCTCGCTCTCAAATAAATAAAATCTTTAAAAAAAAAGAAAGGAAATTCAGTTGACTAAATCCTATATCAGGAAGTCTTTTGCTTCTACCTAAAATTTTAAGAAACTCAGACTTAAGAGTTTGCCTGACTAGCTTCATTAACCTCTGAGGGCTTAGAACTCTAAGAACTTAAAAATCATATAAAAATGTAAGCTGGAGGACTCTAGGTCTATTGACATCACCAATTCCCTCACCATTACTCTGCTCAGAGTGCAGCTGCCCCCCTCCAAAGTTTATAGCTTCTAGAGGACCAGTTTTGTGGAAATCACCCACCCCTCACACGTACACTCCTCCCATCCCCTAAAGGCAGTGCTTCAGCACCGGAAAAAGGAGTGGTTGGAAATACGTATGATGGTATACGGTCAGCTTTATGAGAAAGGGCGCCTTGCCGAACCAGAGGTGGAGATATCGTTCCCTGAGAACTGGGGCCAGTCCGCTGTCAACTTGAAATACTTACGTTCGCATATGTGCGTGATAACTTCAAGAGAAATTTAAAGCCTAAGTGTATTAACTATCAAACACTAATCCTTTAATTTCATGAGTCTTGAATTATAAATTGAAAATAAGACTAAAAAGCTTATATAAAAAAAAATAATAAGGCCTTCCCTCTGACAGTAAATGAAGGGAAGGTAAGCCCTTTTGCAGCACTAGCATATCCACCACCACTGTGATAGAGCAGGGAGACCGTCAGGGACGAGGAATGTGTGTGTGTGTGAGAGACAGACTGATGGATTCGTACATCGTGTAGATATTTGGATAGGGAGTGAATGTTAGTCTGATTACTTAGAGTTCGGTCTCACAGCGTCTACATGGAGTCATAATCTAATCTTCCTGTTTGAGAAAGGAGTGATAGTTTTGGTCAGCTGTTAATTCCAAAAAATTTATTAAGAACTTCTGATTGTCCAAATACAGCACTGGACACAAAGATAAATAAGAGACAACTCCTTGATCAAGTCAGAGAAAATATTTTAGGCTGTTTTAAATTAAAGCAGGAGAAAAGGCATGCCCGTATTTAGGTACTGTGGGGTTAAGTGCTTTGTATTTGCACCTGATGTCATTGAATCCTCTCGATAACAGTGCTGCAGGCTTCGTCATCCCATTTAAAGATGAAAAAAGTAAGGTTGAAAGAGACGAGGGTAATTTCCTCCAAGGTCAGTGGCCGTTAAGTAGCCATGATGGGATGTAGGGACGTCTTGTCAGATTCAGCTACATTCTGTTTCCCGTGCTCCCAGATGTCATCTGTTTGCTCATACCCTTATTTCCACTTTCCTTATTCATCACTCTTCATCTCTGGCTCTTGGTCTTGTGTCGGGGGCAGGGAGTGGGACGGGAGTGGGTGGCAGTTTGAGGAGGACCGATGCCTTTGAAGAGACCCCTCACAGACTTCCTTCCCAAGACTCGTGTCGGGACTGTCTCCTCGCCAGAACTCAGCATCTTGATTTCAAGCTGTAAGCTTCTGCTGGTCTCTGTTCCCCTTCTCTCCTTCTTCATCCAGCCTTCAGCACAGTCCATTTTCTAGTCCTCGGAGAACTAGATTATCTTGAATTTCTTGTTTTTGCTCTTAACTTAAGTAGTGAGTTTCATATAAGATTGTGCTTGCTCTCCAGTAACTCCCGTTTTAAGATGTAATAGAAAGACAGAAAGATTCGTTTGGTATAGGATCAAAAAACAGTGCCCAGCTTAAGAGTGAATCCTAAAAGGTTACTTATTAATAATAATAAACTTATAAAATAATACAGGGTGAATGAATCTTATTGCTTAGTTTATAGGACCCAAGAAAGTCTCTGGAACTATTCGAAAATACTTTCTTAGCAACATATTTAAGTAGAATTTCAGGTGATCTCAGAATAGTGAAAAGATTAGATGAAATAAGAAAAAAGGCAAGGTGCTAATGTGTAATAAATAATCAGCCGCAATTATTTGGAGAAAATCAGGAACACTGGTGTTCATGCAGTTTGTACACAGTAAATTCCTCTGTGCACAATTGCATAACAAATGCTGGCCCTCACCCTATTAGCTACAGTCCCAGGGTACGTAGTCAGGGCCTGAAATGAGATGAAAGAGCCCACACAAAGATTGTGGTTTGAGATTCTTTCTAAATAAATTATGTATTACCAAATATGGCATGTTAGGACCTGCAGGGACAACTGGTCACCTTGTTGTGACCATTGTTGTTCCTGGAGCTCCATACCCTTCCAAGTGACAACACCATGTGTTTGGTTACTCCTGGAGGACTGGGGACTGGAACCTGGGGCCCCTTCAAGACTTGGCTATTACTTGACAGCTAACTTGATTCACAAGTACGTAAGTGCTTTTTAAATTGGCACTTAAGTACTCTCATGAATGAGTCTTACCAAGTTATTATCAACACCTAATTCAGGTATACAGATAAGCCATCCCATTTTGTAAGTCTTAACTGATTGTATTCTTGGGTTTTGTTCTGCTGGCTTTTCTCTTCATTTCTTCTTCTTCAATAGCATGATTTAAATTTTCTGGCCTTTTTTAAAGAGCTAGGATGGAAGAGAATTGGAATAGTATATAAAGTTTGCGATTTAAGTGTACAGATGGAAGATATGTCCTTATCTCCTTAAAAACTGAAAACAGAGAGGCGCCTGGGTGATGCAGTAGGTTGAATGTCCGACTCTGGGTTTCGGCTCAGGTCATGATCTCAGGGTCGTAGGATCGAGGCCCGCTTCAGGCTCCGTGCTTAGCATGGAGTCCTCTTGAGACACTCTCTCTCTCTTCCTCTGCCTCTCCCACTCATGCTCTCTCTCTCTCTCTCTCTCTAAAATAAATAAATCGTAAAAAAAAAGCTTAAAAATAGAAAAGGAAGGCAGCAGAATGAGGTCTTCCTCGGCATCTAGCACCATTTGCGTCATCTTATTTATAGCCCTTAATGACAGTAGCTAACATTTCTTGCACACGGACTGAGCCAGCCTGAGTGTTTTAAGAACAACAGCTCATTTGATCCTCACAGCTTTCCTCTGGTAGCATCATCTTAATTCATCATCACAGAACCCAAAGTTTAGAGGTCATATAACTTGCCCAAGGTCATACAGCTCAAAAATGCGGAGCAGTGTGTTCCCAGAGCCTTGGCTCTGGACCCTGCAGGTGTACTGCCTCTGAGACAGACCCTGCACTGCACTCCAGGTTTACCAGTAGCCTGAACGAGGCTACTCCCCCATGAGCTAGGAACTTATCATATACTTTTGAATCCATAAAACAGCACCTGACATGGAAGAAGTTTTTAATGAATAAATGATGAGCGAGTAAGTTAGGGAATGAGGGAAAGCCTGGAGTAGGAAATCAAGCAATCTCCTCTTACAGATCTCCGTCTTAGCTGAGTGAAGTGGCATACCCTGATAAAGATTTCCTTAACCAGAGTCTCAGATGTTGACCCTGATCAGATGAAGAAGGAATAATGTTAGAATGCTTATATTTGAAAATACACTCTGAGAATAGAAAGCAGAGTGTTAGATGGAGTGTGTTTGGCACACAGTGGGCCCAGATGTCTATAGGCAAGTTGGACCAATTAGCTTCAAGTACCGCTCAGCCTCCTGATGAACACTGAGCTCTCGACGCCTTCCCAGGGCAGCCACGGGGCCCTCCAAGGCTGGTTTGTAGACTGTGGCTTATTCTCTCTGCAGCTCAGCCCCTGTGTCCAGAATCGCAGAGTGTGAGTGGGGCTTCCGCAGACCCTACAAGGCTAATGCTCACTGCCAAACTTAATGTACTGCTTCTAAGACCTTTCAGCAAGTATACAGGTGCTGCTGCCTTGTCATTTCAGCTAGGGTTTTTTTTAATGTCACAATTCAATATTGAAAATACTTGAATTTTTTCCCAATAACATCAGATACAAATGCTGCCTATGCTGATTCTTAATGTCAGAGAGACCCTAAGGACACAGTACTACTTTCTATTAAAAAAAAAAAAATCTGTTGTATAATTAAAGGTAAGATAAGGTGT